AAGACCGTGCAATGTCAATTCGTACAGCATCGTACCTTTTCGACTGAAAAGCGAAACGCTGGTGCAACGGCTGTTATGGCCCAAAATTATTCGGGGACTCGAATACTCTTTAAGACCAAAATATTCTTCGTTTTCGAGTATAAAGTGCAAATATGATATAATTTGCTACAAAATGGGTAAACGAAGGCATATTTTCTGAATTTTTTCTAGAAAGTATACTTTAATCTATGGGGCCATCGAAAAGCCGTGTGAAAAGTGCACACTACTTAAGTGGTCATTTATTTTGGAGTGCTGTTTTCACAGGAAATCGAGGGGAAATGCATTCACTAGCGAACATCCTGGCAAACCCGAAATTTCATTAGATCAGGCCGTTCGATAATAAATATTACAACCCCACCTAAGTGATACTTCCTAATCGGAAACTCATTTCAGAATTTGGGCTAACATTTAATGAGATTGGTCACTGACTGTGCACTTTGGCACACACTGTTCAACGGGACATTGCTTTGACGGTTAAGCCAGGAGTGCTTTTTAAATTTTCTCAAAAAATTCTGCGTGATATTTCATTGTGCCCTAGCCCGCTCTCCCATCTCTTGCGTGCCTTTTTGAACTTAACGCAGTGCGCACAGTTGCGACTGCCCATTGTGAACCCTAAGGATTCACGAGCAGGAGAAATTGGTGGAGTTAGGTACGATCTGTACTTTTAAGGAGGATTGCACTCGCGGGCAGGCAAATTGTACAAGGTGTGTGTGTATGTATATGGCTGTCATCAATTCAGGCCAACAAAATGCGCATTTTATTGTACTTGAGGTATACTTTGTTTTCGGAAGCTTCTATTTGGACTAACGGAAGCACGGACCACGTACCAGCTGGCCAAGCGGCCCAGTGGCCAAATGCGTCTTACCGTCTTCTTTTGCTGCAAAGCTGCGAGAACGATTTAAAAAATAATGACGTTCGGACTAGATATCTAGAAACGCATGTTTCAGGAGAGAATACGATCGCTGGGAGAATAATTGCATTCGCCTGACCTTTCGAAACCACCTTCGAACTCATCATCTAAGAAGATTCCACCTTTGATTTTTGACCACTTGCTCCCAATTTACGAAGAGTCCCTCTTCTTATCAAACCCGCGTCGAGTGGACCAATCGAAAGGCATATCATCTCTGCTGCAAGTACCATTTGGTCCCTAATAATTACGGTGTCCACTTATGCTAACGCTGGAATGCTTAGGAATGTAAAAATGCGATTCTGAGCTCTTATTGGCTTGGGAAAAATAAATGACTTTTATAGAATGCTAGCGACTGAAGGCCTTGGGATTATTGCCGAGTATTTGGGGACGCCACAGCTTTCGCCTGCACCGCATTCCAGCAGATGTAAACTGTTTTCGACCTTGTCCAAACCTGCAGACGAATTCCTGTGGTTTCGAGATATAAGGGGGAAACGATGGCTAGAACGCCTTGTAAGCTATTTCGGCTATTTCCTGTGCTATTTAGTCTCACATAAACTGTGTAAACATTCCAGGGCATAATTTGGTAAAAAGAAGGCTGTTTGATCACCAGAATAATTTTTCTCTATCTGTCCGAGCTTTTAAACTCGTACAGGACTCCGCGTTAGCGTTAAAAGCGACAGCAGAACAGGCCGCGGTTTTCGGGGGGTAAGAGCCAATCAAACATCAGTGACGCCAGTCTGGAGGCGGCTACGCCGGCGCCAGATCGATACATCTCATCGATCTCATCCAAGGCCCACGCTTCAGTCAATTCGCAGCCTGTTTTACTTCTGGCGTGGGGGATTATCATCGTGGCAGCGAGGTCAAACACGTGATTCGTTGTGTAGGTGTGGCCAACACGTCACACAGCCTATTTATGTTCGTTTATGTGCAATTCGAGCATGCGTTCGATCATACTTGTGTAATTAAAAGGAAAAAGAACTTAAGGAGTCGTACGACGAAACACAGATCCCTCTCAAAATTCAGCACCTCATGAGGCTGTTTGAGTCTTGCTTAAAGACTAACCTCACCTTATCGGGAGAAACCTATGAGCAGTTCAAGAGGAGACCAATGGGCTCCCCGATCTCCGGTTAAGTGGCAGAAATGATACCACAAGAGCTGAGAAAGATTGCCTATACCCAGCAGGCGCCGATCTTTTGACTTTTTTACGTGGGTGACACGTTCAACATCGTCAGGAAGGACATGATGCAGAATCTTCACAACCTGCTCAACTTGGTCTTTCTCGAATTCACGGGAGAAGAAGGAGAAGAAGAAAAAGAAGAAGAAGAGGAGGAGGAGGAGGAGGAAGAAGAAGAAGAAGAAGAAGAAGAAGAAGAAGAAGAAGAAGAAGAAGAAGAAGAAAATGATTACCAGTTTCCCCCCTTGATGTTTTCGTCAGGTGAAGTTCCAACGAAGAAATGAAAACAGCGCTCTTCGGGAGGACGACAAACATCGCGCAACAGCTCAATTCTCACAGCAATAATAAACGAAGCAATATAAAAAAACTCTTCAAACGAATTCAGGACCATTCTAGCAACCCCGAAGAAAGATCAGGCGAGGCCCAATATTTCCGCGACCAATTTATGCAGAACGGCCATCCGAAGGCGTTCATAAGCCCATGCCTACGTGTTCGCCTCTGGAAGTTCCATCCAGGAACAACAAACAGCCCTTGTGTTATAAAATGCTCTGTCTTCAGATTTAACGTAGAGGTGGGTGCGCGGATGCGCCGTGGGGATAGATTCATCATTTTGCATGCAACGCTCGCCTGCCCGAACAGTGGGAGCAAGAAGACGATTCCGATCCGTTTTCTGACTCTCAGCCAAAGAAGGCACTGCGGTTCAAGAATTGTGCTGAGGCGGCAAGTGGCAACACAACCTATCGACTCTTCGAATATCGAATAAGAAGACTTCCATGAGCCGGAATCGCCTAGGTAGCTCAATAGCTGTACGTAACATCTTCTTCGATTTTTCTAGTCGAGCTTTTTTGTCACCAGCCGTCGCAGCCAGTGTTGGCTGCCACTGCCATTGATACTGAATTCCGATCCGCCATTAGTCAACTGAAATCAGAAATCTCAGCTGGAGAGACTCCTAAGACGAGCATCTAGAGAAGTTGTCGAGATGTCCACGCTTCGTCTCCAAAAAACGACTCCAGAAGTCGGTCAGGAACGGAGGCGGTCGACTGCGTTCTCTCTGCCCGCCAAATGTGAAATGATGAAGCCACATGTGACGTAGACCCGGGGATTTACTCACCCAGGATAACCTTTTGCCCCAATACGGCCTTGACCGTGCCTCTGATGATTTAATCGGCTGATAATCCGAAAAGGCATGTTAATAAACTTCTTGTTCCAGTCATCGCATCACTTTTTTCTTCTGAACTGATTGCTTGAACTCGTCTACTCGTTTCTATGAACGATCTTGACCGGCTACGACATCCATGTGGTCGCTGAAATCGTGGGTGATAGTAGTGGGGGCTGACACCTCTGGATGGCTCAGTTTCGCTTGGGAGTCTTCTGGCGACTGATTCCAGCGAGAGTCTAACACGCATGATATGGTGAATTTTCAATGTGGAATCAGTGGAATCACTACTGGTAGACGCCATTACAAGTGCAAGCAGGTTACACGTAAACTGGCAAGCCCTGGAGACAAAAGCCACCCATCATAGGCATGAAACGATAAAGGCACACGCACAGAAAGTGCGTTCCGCTTGCAGAAATGGCAGTTTCTCTTTCCTTCGCCGGTAGCACCTCCCTATTGCTAATCATTCGTTGCTAGGCGACCGCGGGCGGGGAGGTTGCCACCTTCTTCTAGCGATCAGGATAAACTGATGAGCGTCACTCCCATGGGTGCGTTGAAGGATAATATTTGGCCTTTTATATGTGATACTTAAACGCAGACTTGCCTTGGCCTCCAGCCTTTGGTTCTTGTCACCTGAGTGACTCACTGGGTGGTAGCTATCTCGGTGCACTAAAAGCCGTAGCTTGCAAGGCTACCAACTGACGGGATAACTTGGATCTCGCAGCCAGTCCAATGTGTGCCTGTGTTGAGTGACAGACTGGTGGAGTGGGAGTCGGGTTGCAATGGCTCCCTCTTAATGCGGCCTCTATGGCACCCCCACTCCATCGGACCGAGCCGAGTATGACGTCGCGCTATAAGCAGCTTCGACTGCGCCCTCTCCCGTCTCTGGTTTTTTTGACTCTGTCTGGACACCGGTACCAGGTGGGCAAGGAGAGAGTGTAGTAGATGCAGGACAAGTCTACCATCACTATAAACTAGATCGCGCAGAAGTTGTCGCGACCGCTCTCAGCCTGCTGGGGAGCACGCGGCAGACATCGTCGAAATCGACGGTCGATCTCTCGCGTATCAGTCCTCCAATGGCTCCAAAATACTCGCAATTAGGAATGATCTATCCCCAACCACGACCAAGCGTCCACAAGCCACAAGACAAATCTGCCGTCGCGATCGACGATGTCCACCGTATGCTCCACTGCAGGGTGATATCATGGACGATGACTTGCGCGTGAATTAGTTTATAGT